GTTTTTTCGAAATATTTGCTTTATAACATTATTTTATTATCCTTTCTGACATTACCTTTCCATAAACCTGTGAGCTAAAATACAACCAGCTAAGCGTTTAAATCTGTTGTCAATGCTTTGAAGGGAACAATGTTAGAAAATGAACAGAAAAACTTAGGACAGCAACGTTATCACTTCTTAGTCCCAACAAGTCCCACAGACAACACTGGTTGTTCATCGGTACCTTCCAATATTATTCATATGACTCTTCCAAAATCAACTCACAGAGTGTTGTTTGATGGCTTGTTATGACTTTTTTTTTAATGATAATTACTTGGTTCTAAATGGTGAAAGACTTTTGGCCAGGTTGGGGCATTGAAACTAGCTCATTATCAATTTGATAAGGTGATAATAAGCTAGTAAATAAGGATACTTAGCAAACAGTTGCCTATTTCCACACACAGCAGACACAGAGCACATTAGCATTCGTTTAGAGTCTGTTTGCCTGATGAATGTAAATCCAATATTCACTCTGCTTTTAGCTCCGTTTATGGCCTCCACCAACTGCACCAAGGGAAACATATGTCTGTTTAGTGGCTAAATAGCTTCTAATGCTTACTGTTTTATCCGTAGTTTTGGTGATGGGCACAGAGCAAACAGTGGGTTTATCTGAGAAACAATGAGCTGAAAGATGCTAAAATGCTCCATACAGCTGATGGGGGAGTTGGATCTCTCTTTGGGTTCATTACTTTGAGCAGACACTCACATTATATAATCCGTTGTTGATATAAAATTTGGATCGGTGCAGCTTTAAAGTTAAAGGGCCAGTGTGCATATTGCAACTCCCTCGTTTCCCCCTCCCCTTCCAAACGCGACAAAGAAACTATGGTGGCTGTGGATCGTGCGAAAACACCAGCTTTTGGTTTGTCCATCCTGGCCTACTGTAGAAACATAGTACTCTATGGAAGCTGACCTGCGGTGTCTGTGAATAAAAATGATTGGACCCATTTTTTGTTGCAAATGGCAACAACACAACATAACAATAGTGATACATTTTTCAAATTTAACTGTGGGAGGGAAAGGGAGAAGAATTACACACATTAGTCACGGTTGCACATCAAACTGACACTTTCCTGGAAATGTTTCAGGACAATAAAAGCACAGCCAAGACACAAGAGACATACTGTAAAACACCAAACATTTAGTGGATAAGTAAGGCAAAATTTACAAAAAGATTCAAAAATAAAAACATAAAATAAATGAATATAATCAGTACAATATATTTTTACCAAAGGCATAGCATCCTACAGTAACTGGACAATTTACATGGTTTCATAGGATGAAAGCACCAACCAACTTGTCAAATAGACCTGTCACTGGCCTTCACTGGATTAGAGTGAAAAAAACCTTGAATGTGCAGAGCCAAGAAAGCAGTACAAGTTTTGCCCGTGTAGCAGCGTATAGAGGATCAGAAACAGTGATTATATAAACTCAGCTTTAACTGCGAAAAAAACCACCACTGTGCTTACAGGACAGCTTTCCATCTTTCCAGCCTGCTATTTGCACTCACACCAGTTACCGTGGATACCAGGGGCATCAAAATACAGGCACAATGACAAATACCAGCATCTGTGTGTGTGTGTGTGTTGGGTCAGTGAGGTTCAGTCTGGGCGGTAATGTGAGACCGAGATGAAACACTCAGCCATCAGCACATTCCTATGGTCCTCGGTTTTCTTCAGCTTGGAGAGAGAGAGAGTGAAAAGAAGGAAAGAAAGAAAGAAATTAAAGGGA